ATTTAGTCTGATCTCTCGGTTGTGACCTGCCCGTCATGGGTGACCCTCCTGGGAGTATGCACTCCCTATGGTATAGCTCACTTCGTCCTCGAGATACGCAAGCCCCTTCACCGCTGCAAGGTAACGATCCTTGAAGGGGGATCATTCGATAGTATTTGAATTTAAACATCTATTCATAAAATATATTGGTGTCACTTGCCAATCATTGCTCGAAAAACTCAATTCCTATACCTCCTATATCTTGATAAACAGGAAACTATAGGGACATCCGGAAATTCAAATAAGGCATATAATCAATTAAAGGTGGTGCCATGGGTTCACTATTTACTATGGTTTTGGCAAATATTTATACGTTAGAATAGGAGCAAAAATTAATTCAACATCAAAATAGATATCATGAAATTTATGGACGGTTAATTTTGCATTTATTAGTTACTTTTTTTTTACTCTAATAATCATAAATATTTATAGATATATTGACGACGTATTTATGACAACCAATTTATCCAAAGAAGATATACTGAAAGAACTTGATGAAACCATTAAAACAGATTCAAATGTTAAAATTAGTATTACTATCAGTCAATCATTAGAATATCTTGATGTTACTATTGAAAATAATAATGGACATTTAAAAATATCTATTTATCATAAATCAGCTTCAGAACCTTATATTTTACCTTATGAATCTGATCACCCAACACACGTTCATGCGAATATAATTTATACTGCATTTGTGCAAGCTGCACGTAGCTGTTCCAATATGGAAGATTTTGATATGGAACGATTAAGTACAGAAATGATATTACTAGTTAAAGGTTATCCACCAAAATTTATACAACATCATATAAAAAAAATCTTTGTTAAATATGATTCTATGAGTGTATGGACTGAATAAAACAGTGAAGTCTATCAACAACTACATAATATGTTACTTTACAGACCAACAACAAGAGAAAACAAAACACAAATCTCGAGTCTTGGTCAATGAATTCGGAAAACGAAAAACTATGAACATAAAGATCAAATTTATCTTCATTACACGTTCGAAAATGGATCATTATTAAATTTCAAAAAAGAATATCATCAAATATGGCAAAAGTTCTGTTTATCCAAGATCATATTCCAAAAATACACGACCAATTCTTGGTACAATATTAAATCGTACTTTACAAAGTCTTTTGATACGCAGATAGCCTCCACGAGATATGTTGACCAGGATGCAACTAACCACAGAAGCAGCTCGTACAGCAATGAAAGAATGGTTTAATCATTAACATTTGTTTCTTTCAAGCATCCCAATTGTGAAGAGTGTTTCCTTCCTGTTTGTTCGCTTCTTTCTCAATTTTGTTCTCAATAGAGGATATTCTGTTATTATCATTAGATCTTGTTACTAGATAAACATTATTTTTTTCTTCCTATTTATTTTTCTCTTAAATACGTGCAACATGTCGAATACGACCATTTATTACATTTTTCATTATTTAAGCTCAGATATTTGACCATTGAACATGTGAACCGGTACCATCTTCTAGTTCATGTTTCGTTATTTTTCCTTTTTCTTTCTTTCATTTGATATATGTTCACTTTGAAACCAGACGTAATTCATACTTTCATATATTCTAGATATCGACTAATCAACACAATATCTACAAACAATAATCGCAAACACGTAATAGCAATATATAAGCAATCACTGTAAGCAAATCATAGTTATGACAAAACTGATGAGTGGCCCTTAAGCAAGACCGAAACGCATCGTAAGGATGCTTGGTAATCTAAAAATTCAATTTTATACACACCCACAATGAACCAGATTATACAAAAGAATACCGATGCCCCATACAAGCAATTTCCCCTTTATTCACCAAGCCGCACAGGAACACTTTGACAGTCAAATATAATTTCCTCTATGTCTCGAAAAAACTGTAAAAGCTAATTGAAGATTATTTCTCGTTTCTACAATCGTAATATCACTCAAAAAGAAACTCTTGTCTAATCATATGATGAGAGCATTAAGCAAGAGCGAAACACATCGTTGTGTGCTTGGCATATCCATCCCATACATCTGCCGAGATTATTTGCCAAATTTAGACGTATTGTCATAGTTTCACTTGATATTTCTTATCTTGAAGTAAAATATTTTAATTCTCAACGTATACTCACACACAAAAACAGTTAGAAGAAATATTAGTAGCGCTAAGTAGAAGTTAGGAATAATGAATCAATGAAAAAAAAAGCTTAAACCAGCAGTGGCAATATTAACAGGTCTGTAAAAAAATGTTTAAATTGTCAGCACCTTCATTGGCGACGACGAAATCCAATTTTCCATCGTTGTCTAAATCATCAACAGAAACCGAGAACGGAAGAGATCCATAACCGGTTGAAAAAAGCTTAACACTTGTGAAGGAGCCATTCCCATAACCAAGCAACACACCTATGTTGTTTGTGCCATAATTAGCAACAATAATGTCTAGCAAGGCGTCGTTGTTGAAATCGCCAACAGCAACCACGTTTGGTTGCGAGTTTAAACCAGTCGAAAAAGTTTTCTGGCTTGAAAAGAAACCATTACCCCATCCAAGAAATATACCAACATTGTCACTGCCACGATTCACGACAACAATATCAAGTATCGTATCGTTGTTGAAATCACCAACAGCTACCGACCATGGAGAAGAATCAGTTGGATATGTCATTTGATTTGCAAAAGAACCATTGTCATATCTCAGAAAAATACCGACGTTGTTAATGCCTGAATTCACAATTGCAATATCTAGTTGGCTATCATTGTTAAAATCTCCAACGGAGTATGACTTAGGGCGAGATCCATTGCCAGTTATGAGTCTCGTTTGCTTAACAAAACCTTCATTAGGATATCCCAGATATATACTGACACTTCGCCTATTAATATTAGAGACGACGATATCCAATTGGGTGTCATTATTAAAATTACCGACAGCTACAGATGAAGGACTAATGCCAGTTGAATAGATCGTTTGATTTGCAAAAACACCATTGCCATATCCAAGAAGAACACTCATAGTGTTGTCATTCCAATTAGTGACGACGATATCCAGTCGGTTGTCGCTGTTAAAATCACCAACAGCTAAAGTGCGCGGGCCAGAGCCAGTTGAATATGTCGTTTGATTTGCAAAAGAGCCATTTCCATATCCGAGAAGGATGCGTACAGTGTTGTCACCAGAATTAGTGACGACGATATCCAGTCGGGTGTCGTTGTTAAAATCGCCAACAGCTACAGACCTTAGCCCAGAACTAGTTGAATATTTCGTTTGATTTGCAAAAGACCCATTGCCATATCCAATAAGGATGCGTACAGTGTTGTCACCAGAATTAGTGACGACGATATCCAGATTGGTGTCGTTGTTAAAATCGCCAACAGCTACAGAGTGTGGGTAAGAGCCAGTTGAGTATGTCGTTTGATTTGCAAAAGAGCCATTTTCATATCCGAGAAGTACACTTAAAGTATGGCCATAATAATTAGCAACGACGATATCCAGTTGGGTGTCGTTGTTAAAATCACCAACAGCTACAAAGTATGGGTATGAGCCAGTTGAATATTTTGTTTGATTTGCAAAAGAGCCATTGCCATATCCGATAAGTACACTTACAGTGTTGCCACGAAGATTAGCGACGACGATATCCAGATTGGTGTCGTTGTTAAAATCGCCAACTGCTACAGAGTATGGGTTAGAACCAGTTGAGTATGTCGTTTGATTAGTAAATGAACCATTTCCATATCCGAGAAGTAAGCCAACAGTGTTGTTTCCTTGATTAGCGACGACTATATCAAGGTTGTTGTCATTATTAAAATCGCCAAGAGCTACAGATCGGGGCCCGGCACCAGTTGAATATTTAATGTCATGACTGAAAGATCCGATGTCGTATGTAACCAGGACATCTACATAATCGATGTCATCATATGCAACGAAAATTTCTGAACGCCCATCTTTGTTGAAACTACCAGCATCAATCATCAGTGGAGCAAAATCAAAATTTATACTGTAACGTCCTTGATTTTCAAATGTTCCATTTCCACTTCCCAGAAACGTAACAAGATTTTTAGTACCATAATTGGCCACGGCTATATCTGCTTGACCGTCTCTATTGAAATCATGGATAGTGATGGAGTAAGGATGAGAATTTAAGCCTGTTGAGAGTACGATTTGATTTCCGAAAGTGCTATTCCCATATCCAAGAAGGACACCTATGTTATTAGTACCATAATTGACAACAGCGATATCCAATAGGCTATCGTTGTTGAAATCAAAAAGGGCAAAGTTTCGCAAACGAGAACCATCGGTAGGCGCAAATGAGATTTTATCTTTCAGAGCTCCTCTGTCATACCGAAGTAGTACACCTACAGTTTTGTCATTAAAATTAGCAACGACGAGATCCGATCGAGTGTCGTTGTTAAAGTCACCAACAGCTACAGTTTGTGGGCCAGAGCCAGTTGAATATGTCGTTTGATTTACAAAAGAGCCATCACCATATCCGAAAAGTATACTGACAGTGTTGTCACCAAAATTAGCAACGACGATATCCAGTTGGGTGTCGTTGTTAAAATCACCAACAGCTACAGACAATGATCTAGAGCCAGTTGAAAATGTCGTTTGATTTGCAAAAGAGCCATTTCCATATCCAAGAAGGACACTTACAGTGTTGTCATCCAGATTAACAACGACGATATCCAGTTGGCCGTCATTATTAAAATCACCAACAGCTACATCTACTGGGACAGAGCCAGTTGAATATGCCGTTTCATCGGCAAAAGAGCCATTTCCATATCCAAGAAGGACACTTACAGTGTTGTCATTTTGATGAACAACGACGATATCCAGTTGGGTGTCGTTGTTAAAATCATCAATAGCTACAGAACTTGGCCCAGAGCCCGTTAAATATTTCGTTTGATTTGAAAAAGAGCCATTTCCATATCCAAGAAGGACTCTTACAGTGTTGCCACCAAAATTAGTGATGACGATATCCAGTTGGGTGTCGTTGTTAAAATCATCAATAGCTACAGAACTTGGCCCAGAGCCCGTTAAATATTTCGTTTGATTTGCAAAAGAGCCATTGCCATATCCGAGAAGGACACTTACTGTGTTGCCATCTCCATTGGTGACAACGATATCCAACAGAGTGTCGTTGTTAAAATCGCCAACAGCTACAGACTTGGGGGCAGAGCCAGTTGAGTATGTCGTTTGATTAGTGAAAGAACCATTTCCATATCCGAGAAGGATGCTTACAGTGTTGCTACCCATATTAGAAACGACAATATCTAGTCGGGTGTCGTGGTTGAAATCATCAACAGCGACAGAGTATGGATAAATGCCAGTTGAATATGTCGTTTGAATAGGAAAAAATTCGTCATAGCCAAGCATGATACCTATAGTGCCCGTATCATTGTTGATGAAGGTAATGTCTAAACGATTATCTTTGTTTAA